AGTTTTTGATGAAAACCCAGATCTGGGAATTTATTTAAAGAAATGAAAATATGAGTTTTATTTTGACTGAATGCTCTCTTTCATAATTAGGGGTTTAAAAGTTAGGTTTAACATGCAAGTAATCTTTTCTCATGCTATGTATGATTTCTTTCACTGCCTCATAGTTTAAAATTGATAGTTAGGGAGGTGTAGATCAATATAGTGGAAGTATGGATCGAGATGGACGGATTGCAGTTGTGATATATGCAGATTTCAGCCCGTAAGTCGACTCACGACTCATCACGAGTCGGCTCATCAGGTTGAGTCGACCCATGACTGTCATGAGTCGACTCACGAAGTCTAGTTGTGATGCCTTTTTTGCTTCTGCTGAGTCGACTCGTCAGTATACGAGTCGACCCATAAGTCATGAGTCGACCCATGACTGTCATGAGTCGACTCATGAAGTCCTTTCCTGCTATTATTTGTGTTCTGCTGAGTCGACTCATATTGAGCACGAGTCGACTCATCACAGTATTTTCTATCTGTTTTCGTTCGTGCTTCTGTTTAAATCATCTGTTGTATATATATGTAGATATAAAGTATGTATGTATACAGTGTTTACATATTCAAGGGTACTATCTACCATGTTTGGACTTGAGGAGTGCCTGGTTTATTGAGTATTTATCTGCAGTGAATATGATTTCACCTATACATGTGAGATGACCTTTCAGACATAAGTAAGTTAGTACAGTAGGGTAAGTACGGGAATATGGCATGCATACTTTCTTATACTCAGTCCTCGTGTTGGACAAGCATTACCTTTTAGTCCTCGTGTTGGACACCCTTCCCACTTAGTCCTCGTGTTGGACATGCATTGCTATTAAATCCTCGTGTTGGATATGCATTACCATCTAGTCCATGCGTTGGACAACGGTCACATCCGGTCCATGCGTTGGACAACGGTCACATCCGGTCCATGCGTTGGACAACGGTTATATTCAGTCCATGAGTTGGACGTTTACTTCATGCAGTCTATGGGTTGGACGTTTAATTTATATAGTCTATGTTTTGGACACTTGATCGTTTTCTGACATGGCACTCATGTGAGTTTGACATGACACTTGTGGTGGCCTCGTCATGATTAACTTTGGGTTTGGCATTTAGGGATTTGCGATTTGAGATATAAGGTATATACATGAGGGTTTCCTTGTTTGGATTATTTCGCTCGACGTACCTATGCTCGTGTTGTAAATTTCTAAATACTAAAATCCTCTTTAGTAAGATCAATGAATTTAGATATATTATGTATTATCTATATTTTCTCATACAACGAGCCCTGTATCCCTTGGGGTTAGTTGTGATGTTGCTCGCTAGCGCTTTGACGCTCGTTGTCCCTCCCCCTTTCAGGTAACGAGCCAGGAGCCCGGAGAGTCGCAGGTTGAGGGCGACCCTTACTAGTGCCTATTTATCCTCTATTTAGATGTATTTTATTTTGTACTCCACTTGAGACATTTTTAGACTTAAGAGGTTTATGTTCTAGAGTTGTAATAACGAGCCAGGAGCCCGGAGAGTCGCAGGTTGAGGGCGACCCTTACTAGTGCCTATTTATCCTCTATTTAGATGTATTTTATTTTGTACTCCACTTGAGACATTTTTAGACTTGAGAGGTTTATGTTCTAGAGTTGTAAAGGCTGTGTGCCTTATTTCCTATATCAGATATCATGTACTTTGAGATATGTTGAGATCTCTAGATTGTTGTTTTTCATTTTAGACTTTGACTATGTATTCTCGTTTATTTGGTTGATGAGATGTGTTAGTTCGATGTTCTATCATTTCATCAAGTATTTGTTGAAAAACCTTATACTTGCTTTGTACCTACACCTATTGTTGATTCCACTAGAGAGATAGTAAATGTGATGGTGAAACATGTTATTGCATGGTGTGGTGCATGACAGGTTTGACATTTCTGGTTTCACCTCGGACTGCAGCATTGTGTGAACCCAGGGGCGTCACATTTACCACTCGCTAGTGGATAAAATTTGCACAAAACTTGAGTTGGGGTAATCTTACCCATTTGCCAAAAATTTAAAACTAAAAAAATCATGTGTCCAATGGCTAGTTCCACGGCCTTGGAGGCTATAAATGTAGATTGAGGGCTCACGGTGCCAATGTATCCCTCATTCTTACCATCATATCAAACTCTCATGGTTTACAAGTTTCATCTCCTCCATCAATATGATATCAAAAGAATGCCCTCAAAATTTTGAAGTTTGGTGCAATTGTAATTTCCAAACACCCATGAAAGTGTGCAAGTATGGTAAAAATAAGAGGATGTATTATTGGGGTGTGCAAAATACCCAAATAAAGAATTCAATTTTTTTTGAATGGGCTCATGAAGGAGGAAAAATAAGCAACCAAGGAAACCATTTTGTCAAAGAAAGCAAGTTTCGAGATAAATATTTTTTGAAATCAAAGAGACTGAAGAAAGAATTGAAGCTTATAAAAAAATAACTCTTAGCTTGGAAATTTTTTGCAATTTTAGTAGTGATATTATGTGTTATTTTAATTATTATAAACCGCATGTCATGTACTTGTACTTGCAAAAACTATTGATGTTGTAATGGAAAATTTTATTGGAATTGGGTAAACTATCATTACAAATCTAGTTGATATTGTATGGCTCATAAATAAGTCATTTTGTTGATAATGTAATAGAAAAGTTTATTGGAATTGGGTAAACTATCATTACAAATCTAGTTGATTGCCCCACCAATAATTTACAAGTTTATTGTAGATTGCATTCTAATGATAGATTGCCTCACCTAGACATTATCGTTTCAATGTAGGTTGCATTCTCATCACAGATTGCCTCATCTGAACATAAACATTGTAAGTTAGATTGCATTCTCAGTAGAAGAAAATCATCATTGCAAAATATTAACTATGAAGCATCACAAGCTCCAGCAGACAATCAACAAAAACCAACAAGGAATATCAAAAGCTCCAGTAGTGATACTACCAGATAATCAACAAAATCTCAACAAAAACCATCAAGGAGCATCACAAGCTCCAGCAGCTAATCAACAAAAATCAACAAAAATCAACAAGGAGCATCACAAGGTCCATCCACCCAAGGATGTAAAAAGAAACAAAGAAATGCATACCAAAGGATTTTATAAAGTTCAAATTATGAACTCATTGGTCATTCCAATCAATATTTACCTGCATCAAAATTAAAAGGTTATATCATTATGCATTAGCATCTAATTATAATACACTACGATAGCAAGTTGTAATCAAAATTATAAATTCATCAATTACTTGCCATCATAAGTCAAAGCATCACTACAAGAAATCCGGTATTTAACGACCAAAATTAGTGAAGGGGCCTGTCGACCGTCATTAATGTGTATATAATTACGACGGTTTTAAAGCCCTTCATCGAGTTATCACAATTAGTAGAGTAATTATGTGAGATGAGATAATGGTTTTTTAGTCCCTTCGTTGATTTGATCCTAAAACCGTCGTTATTGGATCTCCATAAAGACGAAGAGGTCCATTACCTTCATTAATTAAACTCTTAATCATAATAATCATAATAGGACTGAAAAGTTAACCTATTACTATTAACAAAACCCACAACCCATTAAAATCCCCAAAGCCCCATCTAGAACCCGAAATCCAAAATCCCCCTCCTAATCATCCCCCCAATCGCAGCAATGAAACCCTAGTTTAAGAAAATCATCTTTCTCCAGATCTTTGCCTTTCCATCTCGTCGGCTCCCACTAGTTGTCGTCGGCTGATCTAGTTCGTCGTCGAGACTCGTCGTCAGCTCCAGTTCGTCGTCGAGACTCGACGTCGTCTCCATCTCGTCGTCGACTCCAGTTAGCCCCAACGCCGTCATCATCCCCTCCTTTTCGTTGCTCGGAGATCGTCGCCGCCGCTGCTCAGAGATGGCCGCTACAGAAGGTTGTCGGCGTTACTGGAGGTTGACAGGTTAGATTATTATGAAAACATCCAATAGGACTTTTACTCGATTTATGAAATGTTTGATTGCAGGCCATATAGGGTATGCTAAATCTTAGAACCAGTGTGGTACTGATTTTTAATGCGTTTTTTTTTAAATTTATTCTGTATTGTTGATTATAGTCTGATTCCAGCTTTTATGTGCATAATTATTCTGATGAAAGCCAAATAGACTCATTTATTTGAGTTGTTGTTCATGTCTCTGCAGTTAGATATGGCTGAGGAATGCTTATCACAAGCAATGGATCTGAGTGGTTTGAGGAATGCTTATCACAAGCAATGGATCTGAGTGGTTTGTTACTTATTTATTCTGCTCTCGGTGATGCCAAAGGAATTGCTAAACTTGCATCTCTTGCTAAAGAACAAGGGAAGAACAATGTGGCCTTCTTTTGTTTATTTTTGTTAGGAAAATTCGATGACTGCCTTCAATTGTTGGTTGATAGGTACATTTTTTAATAGTCGAACATTTTAGTCTAAGTGTATAATCTCGATTCATGCCACTTCAAGTGTCACTGGTAACATTTTTGCCCTTTGTAGCAACTGTATTCCAGAAGCTACCTTGATGGCGCGTTGTTATCTTCCAAGCAAAGTCTCAGAGATCGTTGCAATTTGGAAGAAAGATCTCATTAAGGTTCAGCCATGTTATCTCTTAACTTCATTTATAAGAGCATTTTAAACGCATTTAAACATAAGGAAAGATGAAAGATCATTTTTGTTGCTTCTTAGTGGTCAGAATCTGCTTTAGTTTGTAGGTTTTTCTTTTTATTCAATTAGCTTTTATAACTTACTCTTGATTTTTTCTTATATTGGTTTTGTGCAAAGGTCAATCCAAAGGCTGCAGAGTCCTTGGCTGATCCTGAAGAGTACTCAAACTTATTTGAGGACTGGCAGGTTGCTCTTGCTGTAGAGTCTAATACCACCCAAAATAGGTGTTCATTACAAGTTCTTCATCTTCCCTCATAATTTTTTTCTAATGTTGTTTCTCATATGTTGATAGCTTTCAACTTAAAATTTTCATTTTTTTCTCAGCCAATTTAAAGTTGGAGCATTTATGGGGAACTACTTAAATGTTATAGCTTATGAGCATCAGTTGTCATTGTGAAGTTTTTTAGTTACTACTGCTTGTTTTTTAGCACCATATTGCTAATTGATGTCACTCATTAGCTATTTGTGCAGCGTACACTTGTTTTTTAGCACCATATTGCTAATTGATGTCACTCATTAGCTATTTGTGCAGCGTACATGGTTATATCATTTGTGTTTATAAGCAATATCATTTGAGCAGTACTAAAACATGCCATTTTTAGTGGATGTAGTGTAAGGAACTTATATTAATTTAAGTTCCCTGGTATTCCCTCCTTTGTTTCAATAAAATGATGATTTTTCGGACAATGATTATGAGCAAGAGAAATGGCCAAGGAGGAAAGGAAAGGCAGAGACATTTTCAAATTTCGGCTTTGAGGAAAAGGCATGCAGGGTTGATGCCCAGACAAAATGGAAGTATGTGGCTGAAACAGATGCTAACAGCTTGCATTCTGATGATGATCTGAATGCACTTTTAAAGGTAGGAATTAGCTTAAGTAATTAAGTTTATGCTACCTTTATTTCCAACTTCCAGTTAACACACTATGACTTTGATATTACAGGAAGAGGAAGAGCTGGTAATTGCGCACCGTAAACAAGTTGACGATACGATAAATATTGTTAGGGAGGTAAGTGAAATTAAGTTATTATTGAAATTCTGGCTAGATGATGTATGACTTTCCAGGTTAAATCACTTCTAAAGCTAACAAGTGATCTCTGGGAGGCTGCTGTGGGAAAGAATTTAAGTTGCATTGGGTTCAGTTTATCATTTGACCCTTCTAGTTTGCTATGGTTAACAATTTTTTTGAACTTTTTGTTTGTTTCTATATTTATCAAGTATGACGATGACATATTGACAACACTGTTATAACTGATTACACCGATAAACAGATCTCCTTTGTTTTTTTTTGGTTGGGGGGGGGTTATACATTGAGACAATTTGGGGCCAAGTGGCACAATTGTCTCAATAGGACAATTTTTACCCCACATACTGAAAATACTGAGGTAATTTTTACCTAAACTATTGTTTGTATATACAACTCCGGGTCTATAGGGGATTGCTTCCAAATGGGCAAAATGTTGCAATTAAGAGAGCACAACAAGGATCCATGCAAGGTGGGCTTGAGTTCAAGACAAATATCAAATTGCTCTCCAGAGTCCATGCAAGGATCCATGCAAGGAGGGAGGCTGGTGCGTTTGAGGGAAGGCAATAAAGAGTTGGATGCAATGTAATGCAAATTACTTGCAAATTAAGGAAAATAATATAATCACAGTGATACAAATAATAGATACCGACTTTGTAAGAGCTATAAAAGGCAAATTCGAGGAGACAACTATCATGGTTTGTCATTTTGACCTATGTTGACTCTCACATGATAGTTTTATGCTCCGAGTTTGTATGCAGTATTGCAAATGGTCTTATTCAGCCAATGCTTTATGATTTAGAGGCAATAGCTCCAACAATCAGTCTTTCATAAGAACCTTTGCTTTTATTCAGCATTAACAACTCCAGCAGTCCTAGACTCTTCCAGTTGACTGTTACAAATCAAAAAGAAAAAAGGGATAAAAAAGAAAAATGAGAGAAGTGTTCACATATATCACAAAATATAAACCTTAATTTCTCAAGGAGATGTGAATGATTTGCAGTTGGAAGCTCGATGGTGTAATGAGAGTAGGGAATGAAGGCTCTTGAGTACTTATCAAATGCTAGTCAATTTTCTAGCTGGAGGAGTGCTTCTCAGCTGAATTAGAATCACCAGAAATTTGGTGAAACTAGGTCTTACAATTCATAGCTGAGGGTTGATAACTTGGCATCATGACAGGTTTATGCTATTACATTATGGGTCAAGCTTAATGGTTGATATAGAACATATATTATACGATGATTACAATCTGAATATATAACGACTTCTTTAGCTAAATTAAGTATTCTCATTTTTTGTGTTATCCAGGTCCTTTTGCTAATTTTTATTGTTTCATATGTTAGTATTTCAAGCTAGTTGTTATCTCATTGCACAACACAAGTTTGAATATCATTTTAAACTATGTTTTTCTCTGAAATGGCAGTATGCTTTTACAAGCTTTGGTGACATCTGAAGCAAATGAAGGTCTTGAGGTATGTAGACTTCCGCTGGTTGATGCTATATGATTTGGTATGTTAGTTAGGCATCAGTGTTTTTAATTAAAGACCAGAATGTTCCCATTAGGTTGGTGGAACAATTTAGTTTGAACAAGCTGTTTTAACTAGCTCTGGGGACTCTATAGTTAGATTTTCTGTTACCATCCATTCACTTTGTTCTTGCTTTATTCATACATAGACCAGATGCAATATAATATTAGGAGTATACATAGAGAATCAATGATTGGACACTGAAAGATCAGTATTAAGCTTCAAATTCTCACCTTTATATTAGTAATATAGGATATTAAATCAGAACAAAGTGAATGGATGGTAACAGAAAACTTGTGATGCTTGGCTAGCAAATATAAAGTGGTCATTCGTCTTTAGCAAGTATAAAGTGAATGGAGTATACATGTGCAGGACTAGGTAATTATTTTTTATAAAATCTCTTATATACTTCTATGATTGACTACTTGCACTTGAGAAAATGTGATTTTTACTTAATAGGATAATAATTTCTTAATTGATATTTCTTAATTATGTGATTTTTTTTTTAAATTTTCAGGCTATCCATGCAAGCTTAGGAGGGGGTAGCTCGAGTCTTCTTTTGACGATGATTAGAGATGAAAGAATGTGTCTTCCCCAAACTTTTATTTTAATTTGTTTTAGATAGTTTCATGTATTTTTCTTTAGAACAATTAGGATATTAACTCTTGTTATTAGTATTGAATATTTGAGGATGGTGGAATTTTATTTATTGATGTTATTAACGAATGAAATTTTTATTTTCCCTCTTATTCATTATTGGGTATTTTTAATATATTTTTGTTGTGAATCTTAGTGTCAGGTTGAGAATAATATGATAGTTGTCTATGAATGGAAGAATTATTATTAATGTATATTAGAAATTTATAGTCTACAATGACGGTTTTATAAACCATATTTTGTTCATCAACGAAGGGAAAGTACCGTCGTTGATGGGTTACTAATTACCCATTATGAGGACTTTTACGACGATATCCAACCGTCATTAATTGGTCTTCAACGATGAGAAAATATCCCCATAACTAATGGTAACGACGGGAAAATATCCCCGTAACTAATGGTAACGACGGGAAAATATCCCGTCTCTGATGGTAACGACGGGAAAATATCCCCGTCACCGATGGTAACGACGGTGACAATTACCGTCGTAAATATTAACGACGGTAATATGTTCCGTCGTTATGGACTCTATAACGACGGGTAGTACATCCCTTCGTGACTCTTTAGCGAAGAGGGCTTCAACGACGGGTGACGAAGGGATTTTTTCCCGTCGTTAGCATACAATAACGAAGGTTTTCAGTTCTTTAACGAAGGGAAATCCCTTCGTTAAAGACGTAATTTCTTGCAGTGCATAGAACATTAATAGCTTGTTTACATAACAACAAACATTGCAACATATAAAGTTTGCAAATATCAAAATAATATGTGCGTAACAATGTATACTTGTGCACAAATAAAATTACCCACCAAAATGTGATCAAAGCCAAATACCTTAGCTAATAGACTAACCTTGAACCTTAATCAGGTCGGTGGTGTACCTCTTCTGAGTTTCCTTGGTTTTTATAAAAAAAAACCTTCTACCCTTACGTTCGTTGTCATATAAATGATCTAACACTCTGTCAAGAAATTTATTAGAATATTCATTATTATGTTCCTTCAAAGTTGTACCCAACTGCTCAGTCTAATGAATAAAGTGTTGATTTTTAATTGACTAAGATATTGATTCAACAAAGGAACATATCAATTCATCATCATGACTCGATATCCTAGGTTTTTTGTTAGAGGATGACTTCAAGTTGTCTTTACTTTTAGATTTATGTCTAGTCGGTTCTATATGATTGTTAGCATCAGATTGAGGTTTAGTTTCACTATCTTCTGGAATCACATTATCATCATCGAGAATAGGTATGGACCTACTAGACCTAATGTTATCTTACACAGGCCTCATAAATTCACCCTTGGCTTGGTCATCACCCATAATCACTTGTAAATTCTTAAAGTAAGGAAGAGACTTGTTAATGTATAAATTACTAATATGTGCACCAAATGTATAAATTACCCATAAGTCTAGAATTGGGTTTATCCTGCAATAACAAATACCCATAAGTCTTGTAGGTTTACAGACAAATATGTGCACCAAATGTATAAATTACTAATGGCATTATTAATGCTGAAAGTAAATACACCTGAGACCACATTTTCAATTTCTTATCATCCAAGTAATAATTTTATTTTTTTTCATACCATCCAACCTCACTTATGTCAAGAAAAGCCTTCAAGACATCGGATTTGTTTCTCAAGCATTTTAAGTGATTAATCACATGAAGATGAGTGAAATCAGACCTAAATTGCACGTTTATTTTCATGGCTAACATTTTATGAGCTTATGCCTTGAAGTTCTTATCTGGCTTTATCCATCTAATGCTATTTCTGTAAGATAAGGGATAAGCACATTACCATGCTTTGGAAGCCAAAACTTGTTGGAACACCCCTTGAGTTCAACTTTGTCGCTAGGACCTTTTTCTTATGTGCTAATTTTTTCCCTGTTTTCATTGGCGAAATCTGTTCCTCACCATCAACTTCATGAAATACTTTCCCACTTGATTCTGCAATGGTTGGTGAAAATTGATGAGTCTCGCTACTTTGAAAACCATAAGTGGGTAAAAACAAACCTTGTGGACTATTTAGCATGCTCATGTATAACACCAGTTGTTGTGTCATTCCACTATAATTGTCATCTATGATGGGAATAATAAGAAAGTATGAGGAGGTGAAGTAAAACGTTGTGGTTGATAAGACATGAAGTTCATGTTAATACTAGTTATAGCATTTGACACTGCATTTGAATGAGATGGAGAATTTTTTTTATCTTCCCCATTGTTAGCCATACATATATATATATTGTAAAACATGAATATGTCATTATTAAAGGAATCTAAAACAATATATAATATGGATGCATTTTCAGACAATTTAAAGAAAACAATATATTATAGTCATAAAAAATTCATTACAATCTAATACACCATGGATAGTTGTAGACATTAAAAGTCATATTACATAAGTAGCATAAAAAACCCAATAAGAAACAAACAACACATTAATTAAAGCCACTCTCCATTATATTACCACTTTTATACTTTGCACAATAACACACCCACATTGACCAAACAATTTGATCTCTGAGCACCTTCCATTAATTTCTTGCATCTCGATCCTATCTTTGTGTCCTATTTTGAGTATAGTCCACTGCAATTGAATTGTCTTCATTTATCACTTCCCCATTATCTTCATCAATTTCTATATTCTCATTTAAAATATCATCATCTGGATCTTCTAAGGTAAGAAAATTATACAATACGGTACACGCTAATATGATGTCCACTTGAGGTGGAAATTGATAATTAAGCTTTGCCGAGAGAATTTTAAACCGGTTCTTCAATATACCAAATGTATGATACGGGTGTATTTTCTTCTCTACTTTGAAAACTTAGTAATCCTTATAGGAACTTGAGGATAGATGATTCTTATGGTAGCTTGAGAATAGAAGCGTGGGTGGAGCCGTAGATGGTGGCGGAAACAGTCAAAATCAGGAAAACGACGAAATCAGGAAACTAGTGAAAAGCCTCTGGCCATTCGACTAAAAGACCAACACCAATCGACCAGATTCGTGCATACTACAGGGTCGAGAAACATGTTCTCTGGTTGGTCGACCAACACACTCTTGTCGGACGACCGATAGGGGATGATCGGTCGACCGATAGTGGTACATTGGTTGATCGGATTGGGTTTCCTAGGGCCGATCTGGATTCTGTTTTGACGTGAATCCTGGTTGGGTTTGTATGAGTTATTTACCACTTTGGCACCCACGTTGTTTGACATATAAATAGAGATTGTTTAGGGTTTCTAAATATCAGATTAGAGTTTTAAGATGATAGAGAAGTTGTTCTTTATTCTAGAGAGATTGTGAGAGAGAGATTTTGTAATCTTTTATTATTCATAATCTAGAGAAGGTATTTTTTTCTCTAATTAAATTGTTTTGTGTGTTTTACTATTTTTTTCTTAAAACCCACCTTTGGTAATTTCGCGATCAAATGTGCTCGCTCGGCGACTCGTATCAAGTTAGTATCAGAGCGTATTCAGATCTTGTGAAGGGGTATCCTATGTATGGTCCTTACTCGATCATAATACAAGAAGCTAGGTGAGATTCTTGTTTAATTGGAAGAAGTCCAAAAATTAAGTAAGAAGAAGAAGATTGCTGAAAAAGACAATTCATCTGGACTTGACGTGGTGGAGAAACAGATCGAGACCATCAGTTCGACTCTCATGAAGCTCATCGATCTCATCCACGGAGGCAAAAATAAAGGTGAATCTTCGGTGGGACCCAAGAAGAAACATATAGAATCCGATGGAGGTAGTGAGAATTCAGATTATGACGAGGAGATCGAGGCCATCAAGACTGTTCCGCAACAAGGGGGTAAGGGTTCTTACCAGAATCTAAAGATTGATTTCAGAGTTGAGATTCATGTTTATGATGGGAGTGTCGACATTGAGAGGTTTGATGATTGGATCAAGCGTATGGAGACCTATTTCACTCTTTATGGCTATTCGTCAAAGAAGAAGATTGTTTTTATAATATTTAAGCTTTCTGGGCACGCGTTGACGTGCTGGAAATCCTACTGCAAATAGGAGAAGAAATCGGTGTGTGGAACAGATTCAAGGAGCCACTGAGGAAGCAATTCTACCTGGTGGGATTTCTTAAGGAGCATTGGTACAAGTTGTATAGCTTACACCAAAGATTCAATCAGACCATTCAAGAATACACTACATAATTCTAACAGCAGGTGATGGCCCTCAACATTACGATGGAGGAGTACTCTATTTTCATGAAGTATATGATGGGGCTGAACGAATACATCTGGAAGGATATGAAGCTATTCACGATAGAGTCGATTACGGAGGCAAGTGTGAAGGCTATTGCTATTGAAGACAAGCAGAAGAAGAGCAACGAGACGAAGGGAGATGCCAAGCAAGCTGGAGGTAAGTCTAGTGGCTCCCAACCTAATGAGGAGAAGAAGAATGGTGACCCAGGGAAAGTATGATTGACTTGAAATCACTACAAGAAGACAGGGCACATCACTGATTGGTACTAAGAGAAGTATCATCATCTCAAGCCGAAGGGATTAAAGAAGAAGGAGGAGAAAAAAGCATATGTGATAGCACAAGGTCCAAAAGAAGTCCTAGGGATGACCAATCCCAACATTAGTCTTAATCTTATGGCAGGGGAGTAGGCTGTGAAGGAAGGCGGAGACCCCCGGGAGCAACTCTTTGTTCTCAAGTTGCAGGTGACGACCAGCTTGGTTAATGCCATAGTTGATCCAGAGATCCACAAGAATTTGATATCCGAGGCATTGGTTAAGAAGCTGGATCTGAATATGATCAAGCATCTGAAGCCTTATCTTTTAGGATGGATTCAGAAGAAGGAAGGGTTGAGTGTAGTTAATCAGTGCACCTTTAGATTTGCACTCCACGAGTTGTATATTGACGAGGTCACGTGCGACGTTGTTTCGTTTATGTTTATCAGGTTATACTGGGCAATCTTTATTTGTGGGATAGATATGTAGTCTACGACAGGCGGGCTCAGAAGTACACGTTCACTAAGGAAAACGAGTAGTTTGTATTTCGTTCAGGGTCTCTTCTACAGGAGACGAGCTTGGTGACGGTGACTCAGGCGAAGAGGCTAGTGAA